AGCTGGGAAAGCTTGGGATCAGATTTGCATCTGCTGTTATGGCCAAGGTAAAACAATAAATAACAACAATCAAAAATGAGCACCAGGCTGAAGCTACAGTTAGAGCATCTCTGCCCCCTTAAGATCATCCCAAGGCTTCTGGGACTCTCTGGGGGAATGCAGATTGAAGGTCTAAGGTTGCCTCTGTCTGAAGGTCCCTCCCCTTTGGTGCCTTTGTGTGGGACAATGGGCCTTGGACACAGAACTGCTGCTCCTGCTGTTACCTGGTCCTCTTGGACAGAGAAACTTTTAGCTGAAGAATTTGTTTTATACCATTTTATTTTCTAGTAATTTTTCTAATTTATTTGCTTTTTCAAAATGAAACTAGCAGAATTTCTAATTATAACAGTAAAGTCTATTTTGTGTGAGTGAGAAGGGGATAAATTTGTATATTCTTAGAAAAAAATATGGAAAAATACACACCAAACCTACCAGTTGTGGTTACCAGGATGAATGATTGGTTCAGGTTCACATCATGGTTCTTCTGTAGTATTTACTCTTTTCTACGTCAGTATCATATATTTCATAATAAAAAATAAAGTTTTTTAAAAAGGTAACTTCGGCAGCTCCAACCACTGTTCCATGAACGAATGTGGACCCAGCATCAGCAAGTCTGATTTTTTAAGACAAAATGGAAATCCAACTATTATGTAAAAATTTGGTTTTTAGATGACAGCAACAAATTAAAAAAATTTAAAAATACTCTGCAGATTGAATTATCATGTCCAAACAAGATTTGGCCTTCAGATGGCAAAATTTTAGACCGAGGATAGAATGTGTTTAACAGCCTAATCTAATTAGTGTAAGGAAAAACTATGAAAGACTTTGAAATTTAGTAGATATTCTGGATAGCAAGTCTATCCTGGGTATCCTCATCTTTATCTGACTAGGTTACGGTATAACTCTGCAGACAGAGGTCATTAACTTGCAGAAAAAACTGACGGTCATGCAAATAATTCCTGTCCACAGAAATATACCTGGTAGAATGCATTAATGCTGTTTTGGGGACAGTGACCAGTTTTGTATCCATTTATAAATTTAACATTCCCTTCTTTTACTATAGTTATGTGGTGATAGTTTTGAGTTTTCTTTTGAACCAGTTGTAATATCTTACTAATCCCTTCCTTAGTTAATGAGTTAGTAAGTCTTTGATAAATTTTATGTTTGTATCAGAGAGATGATTTTATCCTCTTTTAAGATGTATCCGTCAACTTCAGACTACCAATTAGAATTACCCACAGATTCTACCCCTGTTTTTCCATCCATCTATATTTTGTATTTTTGAAGGTTTTTGATACTGGTGTCATGGGGGAAAGGTACAGATATCTGAGAGATTAAGCAAGAGGGGAGCCAGGAAAGACATTTCAACTGATGTCACAAATAAGCTCCACAGAATGCGCTGAAAGCCAATGAACTAAATTAAAGCATTAACAGAACTTTTATTTCCACCTCTCTGATTTATGCTCTGATTCTTACCCCTCCCCCCAAAAAAACCCACTTGAAACAAAATAAAGAACTCAATCTTGGAGTTTTTCAAACTGCAGGTCCCTTTAGTGGAAGTAAACTCTACTTAGTGAATGATGACCAGATTTTTTAAGAGTGAAACAAAGAAAGAAGGAGAAAATAAAGGGAAGGGGAAACAAAATAATTGTCTGAGAGCATCATATATGGTAAGTAATATTCTATAAACTTTTGCTTCTGGGCATGTGCTAGGTCATGACATGAAATGTACTTGTTAGTCTGGGCTGAAGGCAAAAAAAGTTTCAAAGCCACTAATCCTACTTTGGTGCTCACACAACCCCTAAAAGAATTTTGAAGAATTACATACTCTCTTATACTCTTAAAGTTGACATCTAAATCTTTCCACTGAAAGTTATAAAGAATGCAGTCTCTAGCATGTTGAAATAAAACCATTATATTACTCTTTTAAATTTATCCAATGGAATCTAAACACCATAACATTTTCATATTCACCACCAATCATTTTAAAAATACATGAGAAAGTTATTTTCTAACAGTAGGAAATTCGACATTG